GACTTGCAAGTAACGAACTAAACAAATACAGAGATCTAGTCGGGCGTAATGCTTTTTAACAATGCTCTCTTGTTGTTCATTGGTGGAATGACATTTAATATCTAATTGCACTGAAGAAACTTCAAGCACAAAAAATTTAAATTTGGTACACAACCGCAAATAATGTAGGAGCTCAATATAAAAGAAATGAAACGCTGATCGACAAAATTTTGCAAGTGTATGATATCATAGCTAAGTAATAAAATTGCGAAGAAAATATTGTTCTCACAAGTACAATGCACTTACTCTTGTTATAATTAATATTAAAAACAAATCAAATGGTCAGTTTGTGAATTGTGGTTTTAAAACTAATTATCTAACTAAACTAATGAGCAACTCCAAAGCGCTTGTAAAATCAATTACTACACGCCCCCTTTTTTAGTCCATTTTTACACAACTCAAGATCATGACAACACTTTGTAACATATGTAAAAAACTAAAATTAAAAATTAAGTTTGGTTCTGGCAGAACCAAATAGTTTTCTATTTGAAAAATCATAATCATTAATTTTTTTGTAGAACCGAACCAAACTGTGCCTCTCGGTTCGGTTTTGGTTTGATTTTGTTCGGCCAAGACATTTTATCCACCCCTAAACTTGATTGAGGGAAAATAACAACTCAAGTCCCTACGTTTGACCCCCTACGTTTGACCTGTATTTCACTTTGAATCAGCTCAGATCCGTGGCAATTGGGCAAACTGTGCCAATAGAAATGGTAATCTACATCAGTTTTGTCTTTTCGTTCACAACTTTCCAACAATTACGAAAAGCCCCATTGAATAACTTCATTCAATTCTGTCATCAATCTTTCACATTAAACCCTTTCGAATAGCATATTAGTCCAAGTAAAATTTGCAGTCCATATAGAGTTAAAAAATAGTGTGTTTCGATTATGACAACTTATTGTTATATCTTGGATAACATATGCTAAAAATTTAAAAGGACTAATATGGTACAATTTCTTCTTAAAAATATTAATCAAATCTTACCTCGACCAAAATTTATTTTTGTTACATTTTTCTAACATTTGTCAGTTGGTATTACTGAAGAGGAAAACAACCATAATTATTGACAAGCCTTTGAAGTTTATGATTAGGCATATGTGACATGAAGTATAAAAAAATGCTCGAAGATATAAAGTTGATCATCTTGAACTCCTTAACTCCTAGTCTTTTCAATTGATTAGGCCTTATGAAATATATTTCATTAGTTGGAGGTCAAGTTGTACACCCTCTCTAAAGTTTGTAATGTTTAATTAGTATTTTTGTATTAATAAATATTCTACTAGCATGGTAGTTTCATTTAAAAAAGGACCAGCCATGTCACAGGTAGAAGGCAAATAACTTTTGATTTTCTAAAAGAACAAAAAAACAAAAAATGACTTGCGAGTAGTGAAATAGACAAATATAGAGATCTAGTCAGGAGTAATGCTTTTTAACATGCTCTCTTTTTATTCGTTTGGTGAAATGACATTTAATATCTAACTGCACTGAAGAAACTTGAGGCATCCAAAATTTTAATTTGGTACATGATCGCATATAATGTAGGAGCTCAATAGAAAAGATATGGAATGCTGATCGGCAAAATTTAGCAAATGTATGATATCGTAGCTAAGTAATGAAATTGTGAATAAGATATTGTTCCCACGAAGACAATGTACTTATTCTAATTATTATTAAAATTAACACTAACCAAATAGTCAATTTGTGAATTGTGATTTTATAACCAATTATCTAACTAAACTAACGAGCAACCACGAAGTACTTGTAAAATTGATTACTACATTATGATTTTGAATCCCCCTTTATTAATCCGTTTTAACACAACTCAAGACCGTAGCAACACTTATTTATCTTTCTTGATCAGTATTCCCATTTTATTTAACAATCTCCATGGAGTAAAATTAAACATATCCTCAAATGTGATCCAATATCTCTATGCAACAGTGCATTACAAATAATAGAGCACCTATTGAACTCATGAAAGGCATAGCAATATCTTTTTTCCTATTGAACGTCATAGCAATTGTTATAACATGCTATATGCCTTATTATTTCTTTCGAATATGATTAAAATTTCATATCAATTGAATTAGTGATTAATAAATTTAAAGCATTAAATAATATAACAAACATTCGAAATAAACAAACATCTAATGTCAAACCAAACATGGGTAGGAAAGGAATGTGTGAAGAGAACTCAACTTTTAGAAGTTACACCCTTGGAGAGAAAAGGAAGAACAAATTTGGGGGTGTGCATCTTACAAGAGAAGTAGCGAAATATTTAACCATTGAGCGTTGGAAAATAACTATCTTAGAATTTTATCGTGATTGAATAGACTACGAACACACACATCAATCTAATATTGAGTAAGTTGATGAATTAATCTTGGAACTTGGAGGTTGTTTTTGAATTACTTAATTGATTTCAAGACTTGAGGCAAAGTGGTAAGCTATTTGACTACGTTATTTGTTTATACGTGTTAAGTATTAATTTTGTTTGGGATGAACAAATGTTTAAGTTAGGGTGTATTTGATAGGTTAATTTCTACACTTATTTTGGCCATCAAAAGTGAATATTTGGGAACCAATATTACATAATTAGTTTAAATATCGATTGTTGTAGGTAATATGCAATTTGTAATTAGGTTGGGTATTCGGTTCCTGTTTCTACTACTCAGTTACGAAACCCAAAGACTAAGAAAATAAAACAGTTTCACTTAGCTTTAATTTGGTCCATTGAAGTGAAGTACCACACAGGCTATAGATGGAAGGTCAAGCCGTGATATTTACGGGAAGAAAATTGAACGCATTATTAATTACTTTTCTGCATCTACAAGACAAATGAGGCAGCTGGCTTGACTCTTACCTGGCAGTCACTTGAAGTTTAGGGCGTGGTAGGCCCAACATTGGCTTGGAGTCATGTTGGGAATTTGAATTGATTGGAGAACAGGTTGTGCATGACTTGACCAAAAAGATAAGGCTAAACTGCATGGGTCATTTTCGTGCTCTTTGTGCTTTGCATCGGGTCTTTGGGGGATTTAATGCACGCCACTTCTTGGTAATCAAAGGGACAGGCGGATATGATTAGGCATATAGTGACATGAAAGATAGTAATTGTAGAGTCTCCCTAAGTCTATTATTAGGCATATGGTGACAGGAAGCATATAAAATGATCATAAGGTATAAGTTGATCATTTTGAACTCCTTAGCTCCTAGCCTTCTCGATTGGTTAGGTCCTTAATTTGAACTATATTTCGTTCACTGGAGGTCAGGTTATACGCCCCCTATACAGTTTACACAGTTTAACTATTATTTTTGTATTAATAAATATTATACCGCCATGGTGGTTTGTTGAAAAGGCAGATAATTTTTCAATTTTCTGAAAGAACAAAATAGATGGAAAGACATGCTCAAAATAGACAAATATAGATTTGTAGTCATTAGTAATTCCTTTTAACTATGCTCTCTTATTGTTCGATTGGTGGAATGATATTTAATATCTAATTGGACCGAAAAAACTTGAGGCACAAAAAATTTCCGTTCAGTATGCAATAGCAATTAATGTAGGAGCTCATTATAAAAGAAATGAAATCAATTATTTTGATCGACAAAATTTCGCAAGTGTATGATATCATAGGCAAGTAATAGAAATGGGAATAAGGTATTATTTCCATGACGACAATGTGCTCACTACTTAATCTTGTTATAATTAATATTAACTCTAATCAAATAGTAAACTTGTGAATTGTGTTTTTATAACTAATTATCTAACTAAACTAATGAACAATTACGAAGTGTTTGTAAAACCGACTACAACACGCAATATGATTTGAATCCTCTCTTTATTAGTCTGTTTTAACACATGTGGCACTTTGTTAATCATGTGCTTGAAAGATTTAGGATCACAGGTGCAATAAATGAAATGTTGAGTAAGACCTACAAAACTTTGAAAAGTTTGAGGCCGTTGCTGTAATTATGCCTTATTTTATCAAGAGATTGTGTGGTTCAAAAAAAATTTTAAAAAAAAATTAAAAGAAATATGAACCTGATTATTAGTTGACTTTGACATCTTGGGGAAGCACAAGGCAAACGGAAGCTTAACTACTTCCGTTTGTTTGTGTTTGGATTGTTGAAGGCAAATATAGATAAATAATAATAATAATAATAAATAAAAAATGAAACCATCTCTAATAAGTTAACTTTTAGATGAAATGGCTAACATGATATTATTGTAGGCACCACCTATGTATAATTGATGTGTGTTTACAATACGGTGGAGCAATCAAGTATATCGGTGGCAGCAAATATAAAGTGGGTTGTTGAAGTTGTATTAAAGGTCTCATTATTTTCAAAAATATGTTAACGGAAAAGACATTTCCACTCAGATTCATTTTGGCCATTTGAATAGAAATATTATACGGAGAACGATAATTGTTTAATCGCATGAAGAAAGTGAATGGACCACTTTTCCACTTCTACAAGTTAATTAATTAAATCAACACCGTGTGGAAAATGTCTTTCAAAAGCCATTCCACTGAAAGAACAATTTTTTCTAACTTTCTATTCTACCGGAAAGAGGAATATAAAGATTGAGAATCAAACATAATTAATTAATATAGTACAATTTAAAATAGTCATGAATGGCAGACAGAAAAATGTAAAAGGAAAAAAAGAATCTCTTGAAGTAAAATTAGTTGTACTATATGTATATTCCAACTTACAATTTGGTATACAAATACATGATGGGGGTAAGATATGATTGGATCAAAATTTCCTCAACCAAATTAAAAATAAATAAATAAATGAAATAAAATAAAATAAAATTCTCCACTCTCTTTTTGACACCTCATCTATTTGTAAAATCTTATGTAACTCTTTATGTATAAGTGGAATTATTTAATTAAAAAAGGAAAAAGATATGTAAACATTTCACTCATGTACTATTATTTATATCTTCAATCCAGGATTGCTACATGTGAAAGAAAACTTGTCATGCAAATGGCTAACTACTTTCTTGTTGCAATTTTGTTGGAGCACTGTCTAATGGCCTGCTTAGCCATGGCGACAACCAATATTACAACTGATCAATTTTCTCTTCTCAGGTTCAAAACCCACATAAATTTAGATCCTTCACACATTTTATCGAAAAATTGGTCTGTTTCTACTTCTGTTTGTGACTGGATTGGAGTTACTTGTGGTTTTCGTCACCAAAGAGTGACTGCCTTGGATATTTCTAATATGAATCTTACTGGAAAGATACCTTCCCAATTGGGAAATCTATCCTTCCTTGTTTCTATCAACTTAACGAGAAACTATTTTCATGGTAGTAGTCCTCAAGATTTGAATAAGCTCCGACGGTTGAAAATCATGGACTTCAGGTTCAACAAATTCAGTGGCAAAATTCCTTCATGGTTTCATTTCTTACCTAAATTACAAGTTTTGGATCTTAGAGAAAACAATTTTACAGGCTTCATCCCACCTTCTCTCTCCAACATATCTACTCTCGACACATTGGATCTCTCTTTTAATCCTCTAAAAGGGAATATTCCGGAAGATATTGGAAATCTTCATAGCTTGAGAATACTTGGGTTGCAATATAATAGACTCACTGGAGTAATACCATTGCAGATTTTTAACATATCGACAATGGAAATTTTTTCTTTTACAGGGAATAGTTTAACTGGTAATCTCCCTCTTCACATATGCCATGGCTTCCCAAGACTCCGAGGGCTTCATCTATCTAAAAATGAATTCGTTGGTGAAATTCCATCCAATCTATCGGAATGTTTACAACTTCAGGTCCTTTCTTTGTCTTTCAACAAATTTAGTGGATCCATTCCTGGAGAAATTGGGAGAATAAGGACGCTTCAGGGCTTAGCACTTGGTTCAAATGATCTTTCTGGTAAATGAACCATGATTGATGTTGCATTAGTATTATAATTTTTTGTATGAAGAGATCTTCATTCACAGAATTATTCAGATTAACATTTTGGTAATTGTAGTTTCTCATTCTGATTTAACAATTGACAGGTACAATTCCACGTGAGTTGGGTAATTTGGATAACCTCAAGTTGTTGAGCATGGGATCTAATTTTCTTAATGGCTCTATACCAACCAGTATCTTCAACATTTCATCATTGCAATATATTGCGATTCAACGTTGCAGCCTATCTGGTAACTTTTAGCCCCTGTTTGATGGCTATTATTTGAAATTTCTATTTTTACTTACTCATTTTTAACCACACATTCACAAAATAAAATATTCTGCACTTAAACCCAATTTTTTTTTTTTTCATTTTTTTAACCATACATCCTTCTACAAATTATTATTCAAAACATTGTTTTTCCCAAACATGGCCTTAATTAGATTAAAAATTGTTTAATTTTTAGATGTTATCCCACAAGAGATTGACAATCTCTGCCACTTGGAGCATCTTCATTTGGACAATAATAAATTAAATGGTTTCATGCACCCCAAGAATCTTCAACATCTCAACATTATTAGTTATTTCAGTTTCAATTAATCAACTTTCAGGCAACCTTGATCCAAATTCTATAGCAAATTCTTCTAAAGTTACTACGATAATCCTGGATCACAACAACTTTAATGGACCAATTCCAAACTTCCTTGGGAACCTGTGCTTCATTGAAATTTTAGACTTGTCAGACAACAATTTCATTAGTGAATATCCAGAATTCAGCTTCATCACTTCATTGACCAACTGTAGATATTTAACATTGTTGGATATTGGCAACAATCCTTTGAATGGCATTCTTCCATTATCAATTGGAAATTTGTCCACTTCTCTACAATATCTTGATGGACATAATTGTGATCTCAAAGGTAGCATTCCTTATGAAATTGGCAATCTCACCAGTTTGATCAGATTAACTCTGTTTGGCAATGAGTTGACGGGATCAATTCCAGCAAGTGTGGTGAATTTGCAAAAGCTTCAAGGATTATCTCTTACACACAATAAAATAAGTGGATCTATCCCAAACTCTCTCTGTGAGCTTCAAAATTTATGTGAACTGGTTTTATCCCAAAATCTAATAACAGGTGCTATTCCAGGGTGCATAGGGAATATTACTGCACTAAGATCTCTATATATTGATACCAACAGATTGACATCCATCATACCTACAAGCCTGTGGCTCCAAAAAGATCTTCTGGAGTTGAATCTATCTACAAATACTTTGAGTGGCTCTCTACCTGAAGAAATTGGGAACCTGAAGGTTGCATGTCTTATCGATCTATCAGCCAATCGATTCTTTGGTAGTATCCCGAGTGCAATTGGAGATTTACTGACCTTGAGTAATCTTTCCTTAGCACATAACACACTGCAAGGATCTATTCCGGAGTCAATGGGTAAGATACTGAACTTGGAGCAACTCGATCTATCTCACAACAATCTTTCTGGTAATATCCCCAAGTCCTTGGAGTCACTTAAGTATCTCACATACTTGGACATTTCTTTCAATGATTTAAGGGGTGAAGTTCCTTCTGGTGGTCCTTTCAAATACTTTTCAAGTAAATCCTTCATGTCTAATGAAGGATTATGTGGTAATCCTATATATGGTCTCCCATCATGTCGTACTAGTAGACAAAAGAGAAGAAAAACGATGCTTGCAGTTGTATTTTCTTTGTTTGGGATTACAGTACTAATTTTAATTGTCACGGCCTCAGCGTATGCAATTGAACGATACCGAAGGAAACATTTGGTGGAAAATGGAGTAGACTCTGCACCTGGCACAAATCTAAGGGTCTCATATTATGAACTTTTGCAAGCAACTGAAGGGTATAGTGAGAGCCATTTGCTTGGGACTGGGAGTTTGGGCTCTGTCTATAAAGGGACTCTCAATAATGGAAGGGATGTGGCAGTGAAGGTTTTCAATTTGCAACAACAAAATGCATTCAAGAGTTTTGATGTAGAATGTGAAGTATTACGCAACCTTCGCCATAGGAATTTGTGCAAAGTCATTAGTACTTGCTCCAATCCAGATTTCAAGGCCTTGGTGCTTGAGCACATGTCTAATGGAAGCCTTGAGAAGTGGTTGTATTCAGACGACTACGTTTTGGATATCGTGCAGAGAATTAACATATTGATAGATGTAGCATATGCATTGGAATATCTGCACTATGGCTACTCATTGCCTATTGTTCACTGTGACTTGAAGCCAAGTAATGTTCTGCTGGATGAAGATTTTGTTGCCCACTTGAGTGATTTTGGAATTGCTAAGTTATTGGGTGAAGGAGAAAGCAATGCATACACTACAACCCTGGGAACATTGGGTTACATTGCACCAGGTAAAGCTCTTATCTTTTACTCCAATATTTTCTCTTGAGCATTCAGGGTACGTTTTTGTCCACCGGATAAGGGTAGCTCAGATAGTTAATATTCATATTCATTGTTACCAAAAACAAAAAAAATAGTAATGCTTTATAATATTTTAGATGTATCGTAGATTACAATAAACAACCCACATATAAATGCAACTTATATATATTGTAGCGACAACGTAATACAGCTAATGAATTTTTAATGTTTGTGTAGAGTATGGAATGGAAGGATTGGTGTCAATAAAATGTGATATTTATAGCTACGGTATTATGTTAATGGAAGTATTTACACGAATGAAACCAAGCGATGAAAAGTTTTCTGGAGATTTCATCCTAAGGAGCTGGATCAATGATTCTATGCCCGATGCAATAACTCAAATTATAGATTCGAACTTGTTAGGACCAGGAGAACTCAATACAAAAAAGTTGAAATGTTTGTCATCTGTAATGGAACTTGCTTTAAATTGTACCATGGAGAGTGCCAGTGAGAGGATGAACATAAAAGAAGTTGTTGTAGCATTGAAGAATTTCAGATTTCAGCTACTCACCTAACAGCAGTTTTAAATTTAATTGCTTAGTGCAATGTGTTCTCTATGTATTGTATGATAATTTGGTGATTCTGTGGAGATTATATATTTTTTTGTAAAGTTATATAATCATGAAATCAATGAAATTTAGTTCGAATTTTCTTAGTTTACAAGCTGTATTTTCTAGATGTCTAGAATGCTTTTTAGAAGTGTATTTTTGCTTTCTCCTCGTCAGCCTCTTTTTTACATGCTTTTCAGTAATTTTATCCTTTGACACATTACAAGAGTGTCACATGGATGGCAAACGTCTAACCAAACATTTTCCATTAGTTGAGGATACTGATTACACAGTGTTAAAAGGTTGGAGACAAGAATGCCAAAAATAAGTATTTAATACATTACACGTCATGAAAGAGCAAGCATACCGCAAGATTAGACGAGAAATCTCAAGAACTATGTTTTAAGTTTTGAATCCAAATTTAAAAAAATACTTGAAATATCTACAGCAAATAATTTCAATACAAAAAAAAAAAAAAAAAAAAAAAATAATAATAATAAATAAATAAATAAAGGGAAAGAGCCATCACAAACAGGAAAAGAAAGTTCAGAGCTTTACCATAAAGCCTCCAACAGACAGGAAGAGAAGAGAAGGAAGTAAAATATATCTGTCTTAATGTTCAAATTGCAGAATTACAATATCTATGGGGACAGACCTTCCCAATAATTTAACAAATAGTTTGTATATTTCTTACATAACGGTATTGTTCTTCAGTCATTTTAATTGGAAAAGGAACGAATCTGAATATCTGTTATCCCGACATTGGACCTAACCTATTAAAGTTCAAGCTTTGAGTTACCGAACCGGCTAAATAAAATGGCCATGTTCACACCTTATACCATGATAGGCACAGCTATATCATATGGACAGGCACTGGAGAAACCAACCTTCCCATATTTTTGTACCATTTTTATGCACCTTTTGAACTTCATGTGACACTATATATTGGTCAAACCTAGCAGAAAACAATGATGTAGCATGACTCAATTTTAACCAAACAAAAAATTATCACAAAGTTTCTAGTCAGTTACTGAGATGATGATTACTTTGTAACAACCATGAAATATTCCAACAAAAAATGTATTACTTTATTTGAAACGAAAATATGAACACAACAAGTGCATCAGGACAGACATACATTAAAGAGAGACAAATAGAATGCACATGCTAAGATTTCTATGATTTGCCTCTTAAACTACAAACTCCTTTTTTTATGAAATCTTGTAACCTCCAATTCAATGAACAATTAGAACATAACTATTTACAGGAATTAATTCTGAAATTAAATCCAATTAGAAACTGAAAAATAAAAATAGAAGTGATAAAATAAAGACTAATAAATTTCAATCTGGGCAGCTGAACAGCTGCTTAGGAAATCCTACAAGGAGGATGCTGTTTGCAAAAGAGAGCCAGCAAAAATAGGAGGAAAAAGAGACTAATAAGAATTTTCTTGGCTAAGAAAGGTGTTGGACTGCTATCACGAATAGCACACTGATCCACAACATTTCTAACTTTCCACGTGCTAAAGAACTCTGCAAAACTCGGCTACTTCAAGCACTTGGTGAGAGGAAATCAAAAAGTAAACAAGGGACCTATGAAAAGGAAAAGGCAAGAGTATGTTGTTATCTAAGCTTTTGCAAGTCATATTTTTCGAGTAAAAGCGTCTTTTGGTGGTTAGAATTAGTAGATTTTTATTTTTTTTTCATTTTTTTAATGGAAAAACGAAAAATGAAAGGGAAAATGTAAGTTTTTCAGAAATCTTCTATTTTGGTTATCTATACCTAGTACTCAAGTACCAATACCAAAGCTCTCTCTTAATATGGGTATCCATTCCCATCATATAGGAATAGATACCTAAAGTCAGAAGAGTGCTTAAGTATCGCTATATTCTAGCACTTAAAAGAGGATTTTATTTAGGGATTTACAAAAAAGACTCGTCAAACCCGATACTAGTGGGTCCCATCTTGAACGGGATGGGGATTACCTGCTTAAGCGGGTATTGGGGTCGGGTCGGGTACGGGGAGAGGAATTTCACCCCGGGTCGGATACTGGTAATAGAGGTCCTGTCCAGCCCCCGCCCTATTTATTTATTATTTTTTTTTTTAAAAAATCAATACTTTAAATGAAAAACTCCACGAAATTTCATTAATTTTAATAGAAAATGGTAATTAAGATTATCTAAGGAATATGATAAATAATAAAAACCTTAGTTTACAAAATATATTCGAATAATTAACTTTTAAAAATAAATAAATTAATTAAAATTTTTAATAACTATATTGTTGTTCTGTATCTGGTTGAGTAAAATATTTTTCTTCTTTACTAGACAACTCAATATACAATTGGCCTACATTCTTTCCTAAGTTTTTAATAAAATGTCTAGCATAATTTAATATTTCTAAAAAGATTTGTAATTTCTTAGTTTCTTCAAATTTTTCTGAAAATTGTAGAAAGCCTGCTGTTAATATGTGATAAACAGGAAACCAACTTAGGAGCTACCAAGGAATGAAAGTTTATGATAGACATTGGTGTTTTGTACTAAATATAATGCAAAAACAAGACATTAAGTGCTCACTTGATAGTAGCAGTATGATACACATTTGGAATGCAAACATCTGGTATTATACAATTTTGCATCTGATGTCAAATTTGGAGTATTGGTGTAAAACTCCACCGCCACTAGTGTGACTGAAGGAAGGGGTCAGCATAGACTCATTTCCAGGAGAACCTTCACGGTCACTAAGGAAACAAAGCGTTTGGTATCCTGTTCCTATATGCACAAGTCAAAAAGTACCTGATAACTTGGTAATGGCTAAGAATGAGATGGCTGACGATGCATACTTATGGTTCGGTCATTTACCATGATATTTGAATCTTGGGAGACTTATGACGATCACGAAGGTGACTATAAACAGGGACAACTGTTACATTGTGCTTTGTTGCTAATGTTATATATCCAGCTTTGGTACACAGTAGAGAAGTTTGAGGGACCAGAAATTGAGATATCTGTGCACCATGATATAGCTGGATACATTTATATTATCTTGTTTTTGCACTGTACGAAACAATGGCTGAGTCTGATATTTCACCCAGAGATGGAAGATATGAGATGATCTATCTCAATTGTGTTGGTAACTATTCGATTGCTGGACTTGTCACAAGGGAGAGACATTTACATTTTGGACCTATCGTTAATTCTGATTTATGAAATGTTTACTTCAGACTATCTGCATACAGAAACTTTGATGGACTAGGATATGCATTATCAACCATTTGTTCATTTACAGTTTTATAAACAACCTACTCTTGTTCCTCTCTGATCCATGGATGGAGTAGGCCGCAGCCATTTGGTTTGTTTTATACAATTATAGTGATTTAGCATTTGTACACCGGTTTTCTTCCAAGTAATTGATGGCATCCTGCACGAGTTTATACAAAGTAGATGTGCGACAATATTTATTATATCCTTGTGCGTTTATTTCACTGGAGAACTTAAGGAAGCCAGCCATATGTTTCAAACTGCGAATTCGCATACACAAGAATTTCCTCCACACCCACATTATGTTGTTAATTTGGGCAAAATTGAAATTGTAAGATACAGTCGAATCTGTTTCAGCTTTTAATAATTAATTGATCCTTTTTTCTTCATCATAGGCATGGGATTGAGGTAATATAATGGTGCTCCTTTAAACTCCAGATGTCGTGACAAGACACCAGCCCAATTTCTTATGTAAGATGCAGTCCAAACCTACCTCATTGCCTTATTCTCCTCCTCGTAACGTGCATCGCTGTCAGGTGTTGACATATCCGGCCTCGTGTAATACTACTGGACCTGGACGTGGCATGCGCTGATGATAAATATCAATAAAAAGTCGGATTCACCATCAAGGCTATTACAAGTAGAATATATCACTTTTTATACATCATTTTTTTTAACAGAATTTCGGCAATATCTCTCCTATAAATAGGACTAACCAACTTGTGATCAAATACTTACAAATCCCAAATTATAACACAACACAATAGAGATAAATCAAAATCTCAACTTTTATCAAGAAATAACAATAAGCCCCCTTTGAACCCCATTATTTCTCATTACATTAAATTAAATTTTTCTCTCTCCTACTTTTAACCACACAATTTTCAATAAAATAATATTACATGTAAATCAAAAACTTTTGAACCACTCATTTTTTAAAAAAATACTATTAATCTCATTATAATCTACAAATAATGGGGCTCAAACGGGGGCTAAATATACATGTAAATACAAAATACATAATGAGCCTCCTCACCATTTACAAGTGATGCAAAATCATATCTAGGCATGAACATGCGTCCCAAAATATGAAGTGAGTTATACTAACAAACTCTGTCGTGCGGCTCTGACTCCAAAATCAAGGCTCAACTCCAAAAGATACCCAAAAACTCAACTGCTGTCTGATAAGAAAATGTGGAAAAATATATGAGTTGATAGCTCAGTGAGTAGAGAAGTTCAAAATAAAATATACTTTTTCCATTATACAATTTTATCGAAAATCGAATCCATACCATTGAATAATTCACAAAATAACATCATATAATTATAGTTAAAAGTGAGACATCCATGTAACACTATGAATATTATCTCATAATCATGATATAGTTATCAGCTGATATCTATACCATCATCTCAACACATCACATGTGATCCACTAAAAATGTACCCTCTAACTAAAATATGTAATCCGTCCCTCGGGCCAAACACTTTCTCCACGGGCCTTTGGCCCCCTTTGTGAACGAAAGCGAGTCTCAAGACCTCTGTAATCAATTCTAGAACACGGTAAAGGCCCCACAGTGAACTATAGGTACATGGTCACGACCCCTTCATCCCCAATCGACCCCTCAGTGAAGTATAGAATACGGTCAAGGCCCCTCACTGAACTAGAAGAAGTATATAATCATGGGTACTTTTCTACCCGATTTCAATATTACATGATTCACATATCAAACAAATCTCAATGTCACATGTCTTACATGCCAAGTCACAAATGTGCCATAAATAATCTTTGAGATTCCACATGTATTATAATAAAAGAGAATTCCATAATAATCATATAATCAAACACAT